GCGGCCAGGGCGGTGTCGTAGTCCGCGTCCAGCGGACGGAGCCGCCTTCCTAGGCCTGGCGGCCGGTGGCGCCGGTCCAGCGGAAGAGGCCGTATAGTCGACGAAGGCGTTGTAGCGGCGCCTGCTGGTCCACAGCCGGCGGCGCTTTATGGACGGCCCCCGTCGTGGCGCTGCTGGCCGCCACAGGCGGAGGGGGCGGTTGCGCCGCCACTCAACGGCCCCGTGCTGGGGAACTCCGCCGGCCTTGGCGGGAAGGGCACCGGCGGTGCCTTGGCCGGCGAGCCGAAGACTGGAGCGGCCTGGCCGCCGTCAGGATCGGCGCGGCCGTCGGGATCTCCGGCGCTGCCTCGGAGGCGTCGAGCTCAGCCAAGTACAGTCGGCGTCAGGGCCAGGCGGTGCGGCGGCGAGCTTGGGCGACGCCCTGGCCGTCGCTGGCTCGCGCCTCTCCCAGAACCGCCGAGCCTCTGGCAGAGAAGGGCCAGGATCCGTCATGGGCTGGACCGCCCCAGTCGCCACAAAAGGTGCCGAAGACGCCGAGGTCGAAGAAGGATCCGGCCCTCGTCCGCCGCCGTGTCCTGATCCGGCGTGGCCTCCGCCTCGGCCATGGCCGCCCTGAGGTTGGAGGCGTCCTCGGGCGAAAGCGCCCTGATGGCGGCCGCCAAGCCAGTGACGGAGAGGCCCGCCACGAACGACCGGATGAAGTGGGCCTCGTGAGTCTGAGTGCCGGTCGTGGCCGCCAGTGGGGGGGGGCGGACCAGTCCGAACCGGGCTGTCGTCGAGCTCCAGGCCCAGCAAGTCGACGACCTCGGCTCCGTAGCACCCGGCGCCAGAGGAGCCAGACGCCCCAAGAGGCGTAGGCTCAAGCCCCTCCAGGCTATCCAGGTCCAGACCACCAGGCGCGGTTGTAGTAGGCGCCGAGGTCGGGCCGAAGTCCAGACTCACGCCAGGAGTGGCCGGAGAGCCGACCGCCCCGGTAGGCGTCGCAGGGGCGGCGGCGGCCTCCATCACTGGCGTGAGTCCGGAAGCAGACATGACCCGACGAGAGGCGGAAGGGAAGGATAGCAGAACTCGCAATGACGGGCGAGCCGATATAGCTGATCGGCCGCCCGCTTACGCTTGTTCCTGCACACACACGTGTGTTACACAACAAGCGTCGTGCTAAACGGCGTTAGCCAAAACTCCTACTACGGTGCATACGCCCTTTTTGGTCGAAGCGCAGGAAATGCGCCCGGCCAGGCGCACCGTCGCAAAATCCGGTGCCGGTGC